CTTGAATTTTGACTCGTAATGAAATACCCCACAGATGTTAGCAGTGTAATTATTTGACTGGACTATGTATGAGTATGTATGTATGTACATATATTGTGAAATTCTGTCACAACAGAATGTTCAAATGATATATTTCAATTTCATAATTTTAATTTCAAAAATCAGAAGTATTATTATAAATGAAGTGGAGGCTTCTTAACAATTTTTATTTTTCCACGATTCTTAATGCTTATTAAAATACTGGAAAACTTTGGCGTCAAAAATTCTGAATTGTGGTCGCATATATGAATAACTGAGGTTATGAGCAGCTGTCATTTCAAAACAAAAGAAATTCTTACACCTAATTGAAGTGTAAAAAATAATTTGAAATCAGTCCCCGCAACCAAGCCAAGAATGAAAAGATGATTTTAAGGCTACCATGTTCAAAATTATATTTCACATTTGGTATTAACAGACTATATCATTACTTGAACAAAAGTCACTTACGCTTAATATTTGGAGCATGCTAATTATTATCGCTAGAATTACCTTAATTTATCGGTATCAATTTGTAAATGATGACAAGGGGGATCAAATACACGATAATGGAGTAATCATTAATCAGAGCAGCAGTTCCAATTTTGAAATTTTGTTTCAAAAGTTTTCACTTTTCAAAATCTAAAATAAATCAAGAATATAAAATTTTAATAGAATTATAATTTATAATTGTTCTGATAGATTAAAATCCAGGTTCCCGAAAGTTTTTTGAATTTTTCAAAACTTTGGTTTTACAAAGAGCAAAGAGTGATCTTACCAGAAATGAGATAATAATTTGATACATAAATATTATAAATTAAAAATATATATATACATATGTTGTATGTATGTAACTCCAATTTGCATTTACTTTACACTTTTTTAAATTTATAATCTTCACATATTTATTAATTTAATATATATGGCATAAAGTCAATTATATATATATATATATATATATATATATATAATAACTATAAATAAGTAGTATAGTAGTATACTTTTGAACATGGCATTTATACATATGGCATCCTTAAGGGCTTGTGTTTACATTTTAAACGAAATTACATTTGATTATCCCCAGAAAAGTTTTTTTTTTCCATAACTGAATTTTGAGCATCCTTCCTTCCCAGAAGAATAAAAACATGTAAACGCATTATTATATTTCTCAAAAAAACGCTTTGTAAAACAGCTTTTTCAAATGTATATGTATGTACGAGTATATAATGTACTCACGTACAAGCCTAATTTCCATGTGTTATGAAATGTCGAAAACATTTGCTCGTATTTGCTTAACACACATGCGTACGAGTATGTTATCACTAATTAATGCGAACCAATGACCTACAGTCATGTTCATATAAACACGCTTGAGTAGTACGACAATCCTCTGGTGTGCATACCTCTGTGTGTTTGTGTATAAAAAAATTATTTTGGATATACGTGTTTAGAGGTTTGCATGTGTATGTAAAAAGGTGCGCACGCTGAGGTACAAGAAATTCCCGCAGGCATGATTAACATATCTATGTACCATATATACACAAATATATATGCAAATAGAATATAATCTGAATTATATGATATAGATGTATAGTTCTATTGAGTGCAGCAAAGTATTCGCAGCTCCAATACCCGATACCAATACTCAACGATTTTTTACAATCCCAAAACTGCATACATAAGCACGCATTATATTCGGCAGAACCGTTGTTTCTGTAAAGCAAATTTGTTTCACACTTACTCGATGAAATTTGTTGGCCTTACATATCTTTTGGTTTCTTTTTTTACTTTTTGGTTACTGAAGTGGATTTCTATTTAAAAGTACATTCGTATTGAATCATTCTTAACTGAAAGATACTGAATTTTAGGCGCAATAAGAGCATTGATCGGAAGTAAAAATATTAATTGTTTCGATCGATAACCTGCAAACAATCAAACAAATACGAGTACACTTTACTACACCACTACTAAATGTAATCAATTATATTGGATATGTTAATACCGCATTTTTATTTCCCCCACACAAAAAGCCATACACACAACCAAACTACCACCCTTCAAACAAGTCCTCAGGACAGATATACATGTCATAATATGCGGCGGAAGACCCACTTGAAAACAATAAAATCGATTAGTGTACAAAATGAACATCAACAAGTTACAATAACGCCGACCTCCCATAAAAGTTGTGGGAGCAGTACGTTTATTGTGGTCGCAACTATTGGCTTTGGTCTTGCTCACTTAACACATCCTTTGTTTGTTTATACGCTCGATTTATGGCGCTTTTCATACCTTGTTGAGTAATTTTATGGCCCTTCATAGCATCTGCATTTACAGAATACATGGAACTTGAACAAATAACCGTATGTATGGTAACGCGGTGGAACAAACGACAACCACCTAAGTCGACTCATGCTAGATTCGGTCTACTAAGATGATCGACTTTCAAAAGCAAATCAATACATTTGCTTATTTGTTATTATAATTTTCGATCAAGCAGATACTATGAGATTCACTTTCATAAGTAAGTACAGCTTCCCTCGTAATCACTTCACTTATTGATGTTATTATAGTTTTAATACTTTATACTGAGATAAGCTAGTATTGAGCAAACAAAATTGTCGACTTATATTATGAGGTTCATGCTTGTAACCAAGGCATTCATGCCCGCACTTGACACTTATGTACTTGAAAGATGTTGTTTTGAAATTGTATTTTTACGGCTACGACATGTCAATAAGTGCAAGATATAAAACCTATATGAGAATATAAATTGTCACAACAATGAAAAAATACAGGTTGGTTAGAAAGTGTCTGCGCTCGAAATGAAAAAATACTGCTTTTGGTACGAAATGTTCTTTTTTATTCAATATAATCTCCCTTAACTTCAATACACTTATTCCAATAATTTTAGGTCATCCCTATAATAACTTTCCGGAAGCTCTGCAAAAAACCCGTCTATGGCTGTAATAGCTTCTTCATTCAAGGAATTGTTTGAGGTTTCTGAAAAGGTAGCCGCTGAGAGGCAAATCTGGTGAATACTTTAATTCGTTGAATTTTGTCATTGTTAAAACTCCTTTGTGAGGAGGTGCATTGTCTTGATGAAAAATTATTTTTTTGTGCTATACATACATATTTTAGTAGTCATAATCTCGAAGAAGAAAAACTTACATTGGTAATCGGGGATATAGGAGTGTTAACCTCAATACTGTAGGACCGTTTTTTAATATGCATGAATTGCTAATGATGTTGACTTCGTAATTTACGAAAAGTATATGCCTAATTATTAATTATATATTTATGAAAGCATTAGGGGTTCGCTGTACATATGTTTACAACTCGCTTCATGGACTTTTTATTTTATACTTTTCACCTTCAAATATATATACACATATATATGTTAATCCCACAATGTTCACATTATTCGCTTGAGTACTTTTTTTCTTGCTCTTACAGGCTTTAACGAAGCAAAGTCATACAAATAATAAATGTGACAAATAATATGTGAGACAAAAGTAACAGCAAAAACAAAAGATTAAATAAATATAAACGCCCTAACTTTATACCCAAAAGTTTCTCATTTTCAAACATAAACATAAGCAGACATATGTAAATGTGTCAATGTAACGGTATTTAAGAAAATGGCGAATGAGAGCATATAATATGCAATCTGTTAGGCAGGGATCACCAAAATCATTGGAAACTTTCGTCAGCCGCTAAAAAATGTGCAAATATGAATAGCTTTATGGGACGAAATTTATGTTTGCTTCTTATATTATCAAAAAGTATTTTGGTAGATAAATATGTGTGCATGTATGCATGTATGTGTGTGCTTTTTCTGGCGACAAAAATCAGCCATTTATTGGTCCTGCGAAATATTGATTTGCGTATTGAATTGTATTTGTACACTTGCAAATAGAAAGGCTGTGAGACTTGCGTGTATGTATGTATCCCTGAAGTCAGGCAGACAAAAAAATAATACCTTCAATGCATTAAGAATCATTAGCATACGAAACACTCCTCGAATTAGTTCTGGCTCATGCTTTTCTGAAGGCGGTTGTGGATCGGCAGGCAATATGAAACCAACGAGTTTCTTTCCGATATGAAAAATCTTCTCGTAGAATCGAATTTCAAGTGGCTTTATAAAAACTAATAAAATTAGAAAATAATGGAAGAATTTAGCTCTAAACACTGATTTTTTATCAGTTTTGTGTCTGCCGTCTAAGGACTAAATCTTATTGAAATAAGACAATTATAAAGTGGTTAAATATAGAGTTGAATCAAATCCTTTCTAAAATCGCTGATTTCCTTGGTTGCTAGGTGAAGCCAACAGTAAATTTGTATATAGCTTAGCTGTTAGTTTTACAATGTTAATATTACTTGCACAAAGTTTAGATGAGCTATTTTAATTAATGAATTAATCCAAATCGTTTTTTTTGTGACAAAAATTTCGCTGAATTCACAATTTTTAGCCAAAATAACTCGTTTGGTTTAACGAATACGAGGAAAAGGAAATGTGCCTTTGGGTTTAAAATAGACGTACAAGTACATAGAAAGTAGGTGCTGTACGTTTTCGTTCCGTACCAATTGTGTAAGTAGTTTTATATTATGAAATTACGGAAAAAAATTCCAAAACATTATTCTGATGACCGAATTCCAATTGGCTATTGCTAACAACTAAATAAAACGACATTTACAGTGGATTTTAATAATGCTATGTACGAAAAGAGGATCCATTAAGAATCTGGTGACACCTGTTCTCCAGCAGGAAATTTTTCACAAAGTTTCGCTGAGATGAATGAAAAATTAATATTTTATTCTGATGTAAAATATTCAAATTTAATTGTTTCAAAATATTGACATTTTTGATATTGTTTTTGTTTTTGTTTTAATTTAAGAATTAATTAATAAAACTATGCAATAAATTCAAAATACAAACTCAATTTTAATTTCACAATTCTTAGATAAACTACTCAGAGACTCACCTTTAAAAATTACTTTTGAAAAGAAACTTCCAATAAAATCACTAATCTTCTGGAGCTGTTCAATATATATTATTTAAAATTCAACAAATTGTAAATTTGTAATTATTGATGTGCTTTGTTTCTTCTACTTGAGAATTTTTGACGTTGTCAAACTGTTATTATTATTTCTCATAAATTCCACGGAATTCAGATCTTTATACTTAATTGGAGTAAATTAAACGTTGCACATCCTTGAGTTTGTTTTTACCTGCTTACAGTTCTCACAGACTAAACCGCGATTTGTCGTACACGCTAATATGCACATAGGTACACAAATATCGAGCGATTCACTTTCATAATTTTGATTTGAATTTGCAGCCCGTGCTAAGATTTTCGCTGGCCTTTTGCATTCGAAGTAAAAATTTCACACTTTCAAAACTTTGGAGGTTTTCCGCTTAGAACATTCATTTAATTATTTACCTACAATTTGATATGAGTATATTAGTTAAAATGGATTGTATTTAAAAGTAATGTCCGTGTGTTTGGATATGTTATTTGTACTGTTATTTAATTCCAAGCGTTTGACTGTGTGTGTATGTGCGAATTATATGGTTGTATTCGAGTTAGTTCAAGGTATAGTTTTTCCTTTAATCTATATATACATAACATACATATGTGTCTGTGTATATGCAGTGAAGATATGTAGTTTGTCTATGTACTGAACCAATTTGAACTAGAAAATTAACTTCAGCTCGAAGACCGGAAACGTTCGTTCACAATGAAGCCCCTTATCAGACTAACTCTGAAGCAACAGTGTCTGTGGCTGAAACACCTTTTCGGCCGACGATTGTCGGTCATTGCACGTCGCAACACCCCCTCAGCCAACACATGGGCCAGCTTCTGCAAAACAAAGACAAAAACTCAGCCGACGAGACGCTCGTGCAACAGTCGTTTTTTACCCACACAAGCGCAAATGTAGGGGAAATATTCCCTCAGCCGACATAAACCCCTCCTAAACTATCTATATACATACATATGTATATACCATATACAAGTATGCGTATCGCTCGAGGTTTTGTACTAAAATGCATGCCTTCTCTGCCAGTGAATTGGGGTTGAAAACGTTTTTGGCATTTTAGCGTCGCGGACTTTTAGTACAGAAATCAGCTGAGAAGCAACAAGTTTGTTGATGGCCTGTACATTGACACAGTTACGTACACTCTAGTGAACATATATAAATAAATATTTAAGTATGTGGGCATGTAGGGACTCTGAACACACAGATTGTCTGCGTAAAAGTACCTGTGTAGACAAGTACATACCACAACTTGGCCAAAAATAAGGTGTACCTGTTTAAATATATACTCGTATTATTGATTTATGTTTTTTGATATTATGATAGGCAAGACAACTTTGCACCAAGCAATTTGTATTCGTGTACACATCTGTCTGCAAATCTTGTATGCCTTTATAAAAAAATTACCATTCCTTAAGGCTTTTGTATCAAAATCAGAGCACTTTCAAGAGCCTTATAAAACATGCCAAATAATTATTTGCCTCTCTCCATTTAAGATTACCAAAAAATTTACGACTGACACGGTTTCGTTTCTAAAAATATTTCTCAGAAAATATCAAACGTTTTAAACACAGGCAGCTACCAAAGAGCTCTTCGAGAGATGGAAAGCTTCAGAACCATAAGGCTTTTGCTTGGAGTCTATAATTTAAGAAAGGTACGGAATTTATTCAGGGTTGTAGTTCGAAAATATGGAATAATAATGGAACTCGTTCACCACAAGAAAAAATAATTCTTTCGCTAATCGAATGATTTTGTTTAAAAATAATATATAATTTTATAGTACACTCAATTATCACTTTACTTGTTTAACTCGCATTTCAACTTTCAATTGCTCTAAAATATAGTTTTCAATCCATTTCAGCGTAGTAAGCCAATTCAATTAAAAACTTTGGTAAAAAACTCTTACAAACGGAACGGTTAACAAAGCAATCAAAGAAGACACTATTAAAACTTATTTGCTGCTTAAATCAAAAGAATGATAATTTCATGTGCTAATTAGCATTCAGATTGATTGTCGGTAGCAAGGTGTTGACAACGGCAACACCGAACAACAACGCTCGAAAGAAAAAGAAAATTATAAGAGAAATTAACAAGGCTAACGTCAATGCCAAAGACAACGCAGACATCACACAGACACACACACCTACACATTGGTAATTATGCATGGTACATCTGTTAGGGTATGTGTATATACATATATATGCCTACAAATCTCGCCCCGTTGTTGGGTGCTTCAAAGTTTCACTTATTTCTTCCAACAAGTTGATTACAACAACCGTCACGCTCGTTGCCATCGTTATGGTCGTCATCATCTTTGGTCAATAAATTACAATCGTATTTTCAATGTTAACAAGCTTCAAATGCCAAAACATCCAATCACACCATCAGCCAGCCAGCTCAAGTGCAGGACGACCAACTGCGCAAACATCCGGTCTGGCCGCACGCCGCACGCCACACGCCACACCCCGCACTACGCAAGCCGGGATGCGGCGCCCACCACACGCCCAGAGAACACCTGGGCGGCTCGCATCCGCGATCCGTTGAAGCGACACGCTTGGTTGAAGTTGGCTTGTAGCGACAAAGTGAGAGCGCAAAGGAAGGAAGATGAAAAGCGAGCGGCCAGTAACTTATATACATACTCACTTGCGCATTCGTGGGAGCAAACATTAAGTTAGCATCAGACTCCGTGACATATTGAGCACTAAATTCCATGCTAGTCTAACTAATTTACAGTTAGGCAAGGGAATGTCGATATGTACACACATACGTGTATGCATACGTTAGTTTGCAAGTGCTCGTCTACGGTTTGGCATAGTGAAATTTGTAAGCTTTTAGTAAGTAATGAGTGCACCCTGTTGCGCGTCTCCAGCATACGCACACACACACACATATTAAGGGATGTGTCGATGTGTGCGGGTATTTGTATGTATGTGTGAAGATGTAAATAAACTTTTTATACTTGGCTGAAAGCAACTGTCTGCAACTGGTGGCCGCGATGCCGCACGCTCTGCCGAAAATGCCCATCAGTACACACACAACAAAGCAAAGTGAGCTCCCTCTAAGTGTGCATCGTTCGTTGAGCAGAACAAAACCACTTGCCATGGCGACATTTATTATTTTAAATTTTTACTGAAACTCGAATATTACGAAGCCGGATAGGTAAAGATAGGTGTCATATTCAGCCGTATAATGAACTTATTTAACCGTTACGCAAAAATCTTAAATGTATTCGGGTTCCTTTTAGCAAAGCTTGTCTGTATATTTTAATACATATATACGAGCCAGGCTACTTATAGCAAACGCCAGCAACGTGACACTCATTCATTAAAGCATCACGACCCGAGCTCACTACAAGGGCCATTTTCCATTTGGCCCACACGGCGTATACGTGCGCTCTCGCGCCTGCTGCTGCTCTCCGGGGTTATCTCTCATTTAGTACACAACCTTCCCACTGGCCTGTATTTGTATATACAGCCATTTGCATTTGTATTTAAGCTGTGCGTAATTTTGAACTTGATTATTGTGTGCTTTATTTTGCTGATTGTTGTTTTTTTTTTTACTTTTACTGTTGTTTATGTACTTTTTCAATGCATGTTACACAAAAAGCTCCAGCATGCAGCTTCACAAGGCTACACAGCCGTGCTTATACCATAATGTACGTTCGTTAGTTTCCCCCTTGAGCTTTGCCTTTTACTGGACGAAACCTCCACCTGAATGATGAGTAAGTACTTCCTAGAGTTTGTCACCCAGACGCTTTGCAGGATTATCATGTGTTGTTCTATCATTACAATAGTTATAATGCCATTTTAGTTGATTAAGCCAAACAAAGTCAAACTCTTACAACCGACTTGTGCGCCTCTCCTCTCGCCCCCTCTTCTAGTATGGGTGCGGCAGGTTAGCTTCCCGCATTTATAAGTCCATATGCATTCGAGTACATACAGCTTTCAAGGGTATAAATCACAGCGCCTATTGGCAATTGCCACACACACACATACTGGGACAGCTCGGTCCGTAGCACTTTCCGGCGTTCCAATTTCAGCTGCCACTCTCCCAATTATTATGGCCAAATTAATAAGCCGATATAAGAGTACTTTGCAGTTTTCATTGTCGTTCATATGAACACGTAAACAAACGCGTATGAATGCGTGAGTATGTGTGTGTAAGTGTATGTGACATTGGCAATGCACATACGTCAACAAATACGTTAAATTTTAGACGGAAAAGAGCTTTTTTGATAGACTGGGACGGATGCAGCAAAAATACTATTAAAAGTTGAAATTTACACCTCAAGGGCATGTGGGATGAAAAGTACATTTTTTTTCTAAGAATTTAATAATAGTCAGACTCATAACCTTCAGAAACGTAGTTTCTGGTTCTGAATAATACCGCTTAGCCTACGCTGCTGAAAGTGGCAGAAAGCTTTGTCTAAACTTGCATATTATTTTACAAAATTATCTTACAAACATCCCTACGTCTATTAAATCATAAACAGTTGGAAAGCAGAAAACAGTTGTTACCAGTACTAGAAACTAGAACTAGGTTAGGTAATCAGTCTGATCCCAAGAAAGAATCGCACTTCTGAGTATGACCAATCCTTTGTAAAACCAAAAAATAGTGAAGCAATAAAAAGCAATGTTTGCCCAAGTAAATTAAATTTTCAATGAATAAAAATACAGAATACAGAAAACCGAGCGACGTCCTCAGACAAATATGCCTGGAAAATTTCATAAAGCCAATAAGACTAGTTAAAATGGTGAATTGGTGTATGCCAACAGTAGGACATTGTGGACCTCTTCCAAATAAATCACCTAATTTATATGGATGTATGTATATGCATCGCATCATCCACAGACGTGAGCTTTTCAACTTTCGCATTTGCATGAGTGTGTTGGTTGTGCTGCTAACCATAATGAGCGACACTAAAAAAATAAAAGTAAATTCCATTGTCATTCGCATATCGTATTATAGTGGACATGCCTGTGTTGGTTTAAATGAATTATATCCTTCTTTCTTGGAAAACAAATATACCGAAGCAGTAGAGGACTGTCATAGCTTATATTTCGTTATGGTAACAGATCCTGGTATTTGCTTTGAAATATCACTTCATTTAATGCAAATTATGCTCACAATGCTCACTAATTAGTTCAGATTGACTTTGATGAGATAGTTAGTATAAAATCGTTATTTTTCCCACACCTCTGTTTTTATTTATTTATAAATATGGAAGAAACAAAAAATACAACAAGCTATATTTTATAATTTTTAGAACTTCTTATACTCTTTTCCTCTCTTGAGATCAGCCATATAAACGAACATAACCTAACCTATAAGCATATTTGAATAATGGCAAATGGTGTATAAATTTGAGCAATTTGGTTGTTATAAACCAAGAGTCGGCTATGTACCGTTATGCAGCCATCGTTTTGTATCAACCAGCGTTCAAGTAAAGAAAGATGACGTGAAAGTTGCAAATGTATAATACCAACTGAAATAAAGCGAAAGCACAATATTTTTGGTAACGGCACATTTAGTTGTTGCTAATTTTCTTTTTTTGTTGCACGAAGCAGAGAAAGCGAGAGGCGGCTGATAAGTGCACAGGTCTGGAAAGTTTACACAGGAATTGCAAAGTGATTTTGCTTTCCAAGCAATCGCCTTAAAGTTATGCGAGCGATTTTATGCAAAGTGGCTGAACGGAGAATTTCAAAAATGATACCCCCAACAAATAAATGCATTCGAGAAAGTTTTCGCAAAATATGGTTGAAATTTGCCGGATAGTTCGAGCGCAGCTGGCCGATGTATGCCTTCGATAGCATCAACATTGCAGCACAACAGAAGGGCGCCGTGGCGTATGAGTTACATTTGAATGGTAGATGAGTAAACGAAAAAATAGAAAATTAATGTGAAATGTGAAAATAAAGATAACAATTTAAACAAAATGGAACTTGTTTGCATATTTGCTATCATAATTTTATATATTTGGTATTAACATGACTCTCAGGTTTGTGTGTTTTCTCAAATATCTTGAAATCCAACCTCATTTACTCCACAAGCAACATTCGCTAATCACTTAACAAACTTCAGCAAACGCTATCAGAAAGTTTTCAACAAGAACACCTGAAATGGCAAGAGTTGTAGCGATGCGAGCTGCGCATAAAACTAGCTCACAACTAAAATAATTCACAGCGATGTCACAGCGTCTTGTGCTATTCACGCAAACCGAAAATAATCACAATTATATTAAAAGATACATGAGCATCAAGTTGGAGTTCACTTAATTACTTTTCTAGCAACTAAGTTTGCGTGGAATTTATATTGTGAGCGAAACGCATAAATATTCTATAAATGCGAAGTTAATTGCAACCGCACAGCGAATGAAGGTAGAAATGGTTTAAAATTAAAATCAAGGTCAACTGCAAACGTCTACAGGGCTGAAGTAATACAGTACTTATATACTGACCCTGACTGATATAGCGATCATGTTTCCGTTGAATAATTCAATCTACTTGCTTAACTTGGAGAAGCCTTCAGTCATCTGTATTCAAATCCATATGGCCTGGCAATATTACGCACATCGCTGTTTTTCAACTCGAGCTAACTGCAGAAAATAGCATGATAACTTCTTTTGATGGCTTAAGAAGTACACCAAAGCAGACTAACGAAAGTGACATTACATATGTTGGCAGAAGTGATAACGACGAAAAACGTGTAATTATATCTTTGTGTACACACAGATAATCGCAAACATACGTACCTATATCAACAAGGTAATGTAAAGTCTCAACCAATGGGAAAGGGAAAATCCATCAGTCAATTATGGCAGATAAGCAAAATTTTATAATGGCTCCACACCTGCATGGAAATTTTCCGCGTTGTTAAACTCGCTCGGGAACTGCTGCAAAGGTATGAATGCAGACATTACGAGGTGCTTATGGAATTTATATGCGACATTTTTAGGTGAGATTATGCTTGTAGTACGAGTGTGCGTACAATCGGCGAAGTTTATTCCACAAATATGATGCGACAATAAACCAAACATTAGAAGTGGTATTTATAATTGAGGTGGGTAGAAAGGAAGATGGGTAGGTTACTGATGATACGCGCAGCTTATTTTTACCATTCATAAGAGATACAAACATTTTTATAACCAATGAGTGATAGAAGGGAAGAAGAGTAGCTGAAAAATCAGTACCAATTGTCACACGTTCAAACTTCACTACAATGACAAGACTTTTAAAAGAGAGAACTGATAAATCTGGTGCTTTCTAGGTTTTGTATTAATGGAGGATTTAGTATTTTGCAATTAGAAATATTGAGTATACCTCCTCATCACTTTGTCCTTATTGCGCAAAGTTAAATGTGACCAACATCCTGACCCACTGGCAATTAAAGATTTGCATATTAGGCATGGCATATGGAAATGCCTTATTTCAACTGCAAACACCATTTAAAAAAATACTATCTAAATTGACAGCATAGTTCATCGAATTAGTCAATGTGTTTTGAAAAAAGAAGCGCGTAAATTTTTTACAAACAAGTGCTCGTACTGTACGCATTCCTGTCTTATTTGAGCGTTCGTTGGCCCACATGTTTGCTCCGGCTGTCTCACCCTTGCTCATCGGCAACAAGTTCTTCGTATTCATTTCTTTTGCTATTCTTTGATCTTATGAAGCTTATGCCAATACAGGCACATAGGTACATATATCCGTGCACATATGTATATGGATTAGAACTCACATTTCAATTTTATTTTATTCTCTTCTTTTATGCCTTTCTTCGCAGATATAATGCAGATGTAGAAATATAAATAAATAATATGTACAATAAGCAAAGCTGGAGCACTCATAATACGATAGCTCTCAGCATCAGCATGCTTCTGTTATTTTTAGTTGTTATTTGAGTTTATAAAAAGCAAACAAAGATCGGAAAACACAACAATGCATCGAAAGGATACGAAAGCATACGAAATTATAAATAAAATTGCTTTAAAAAAGTACATATGTATATGTAAAAAAAATCAAACTCAACGCTATTTTTTACTGTATATTTTTAAATATTACCATTTTAACCAAATCCAGCAATGCCTAGGCGATTTCGCCCAAACACGTACTATTGGCACAAATAATTCAAAATGTCCATCAATTTCCTTCAAAACCATTTAGATGACTCAATTAGGTATTAACGGTAGCTGCCGTTACTTCTAATGGCCACAACGCCATATTGCCAAAAAGCAAAGCAAAAATTCTAAGCTGAGCAGTTTTCAGTGAGAAGCATCCACCTCAATTCCAGTTATATAATTGGACCTTATTTATCAATATTTCGCTATAATCGCTTTGTTGTCTTTGGGCAAAATCATGACTCTGGACCAACGTGTTTCTCGGCTCATTACACTCCGCAGGTCAACTGCATTGAATGATACTCATACGCCACGGCGCACGCAAGTTAGCGTTCGCGGCATTATGACCGTCGTTAGGAGGATTGTGTTTATAAATGGTCATTGTAAAATCGCTAATAGATGCATATATTTATTTGCCATTTGTTGAATCGAAGTGAAAGGTTTTTTAGAGCCAACAAATTTATGCGAATCATTAAACTTTTCAAATATCTTCATTTCACCTTAAATGTGCCTACTCGGCATTTTTCCACTTTTTCGTGATTCATCACAAAAATGTTAGTCACTGTGCATTCCACCATGAATGGAAGGTTTGCATAAGTCAACAAGCCGCATGAACATTACGGCACACATATGGGCTCCTGGCTATAATTGTTGCACGTCTTCAAACAAAGCCCCAGATATTACCTGAATGTCATTCTGCCTTCCGACCTAGTATAAACACCTACATATGTATGTAAGCATATGCATTTGTCGTCTACATACATATGTACGATATGTGTAATAAAAATGTCTTTACTTTTGCCAAATATGATTTTGCTTACACAAGCGGTACTCAAAGTCGTTGTTGGTGGGCATGAGTGTGTTCACTGCTCACTTTATTTGACAAATAGAAATAAATGCATATGTATATAGACAGCTATATAATGTGTAAGGATTTTCGTTCAGAACGCAGAGGCTTTCAATGTGACATTTTGTGAAACTTGCGCAGAATATCAATTTGTGGTGTCAGATTTTGTAATGTGTTTATTGAAGGGCGACCGACGCCAACACCACAGCTATTTTTAGCCGGTATACATATTCTGACAAACAGAGAAACAGAGCAACAACGAGCGTGGTCACATAAACAAATATTTGATATACTATGTCCACATTCGCGCGCTTTGCCGCAGTGTATCTAATGGCTTTATTTGTTTGCGAGGATTCATCTTGGCCTTGCTTACCGCACTTTGCCAAAAACGCGTGAAATAATTCATAAGGCGCATATACTTTATGTACACAGGTAAATGTTTTAGTTGTACCGGTGTGTGTTAAATGGTATTCAATATAGATTTCTAACAAATGCTTGCATAAAAAGTGGATCAACGCCAGCGGTCCATCGCCCTTCGATCTCTCTTCAAAATAAATTTTATTTCTAGAAACTGGAAATCAAAGTCCATGCCCCAAAGAAACGACAACAATGATACCAGAGCATAACCATATCTGTGTATTGTATATATAAATTGTTATTTATTACACCTTCTGCATATTACGAGATAATTAGGACTCTTTGAAAGTTATTATTTCTGTTTTTTCTTTCAATTGAACCCTTTTCAGTCGATTACTGTTGAACTTGGTACCCTTAAATTCCGTGGCAAACTTGTGTGTGTGCTGGTGATCTGAAGTTTGAAAAATAGTTGAAATTTTTGTAACCAAAAATAATGTACCCAAGGGGAGTTAATAAACTTTTCAGTCTACCCACTCAATGACAGGTGCTTAATTCTAAAACACTCACACCCATGGCTTTTCTATACATGGAGAGTTACGAATGCACTTTTAACCTAATTATTCCACAATCGCAAATTTTCTTTACTCTGACAACAAAAACTTGTTGACTTTCGAACTAAAATTATGATTCGCCACATACATATGTACATACATATATAATATGTGTTTTTAGTAAATACCCATATATTTACATCTAAGACCAAATACTAATATATTGTAACACACAAACCGTGGTTAATATTTACAAGAAACTTTAGCTCAAAATCTTTTAAAAAACCCATATCCATAAAACATTTCTGACTTATTTGGAGTTGTGGCAGCAGCAGCACAATTTTTTAAGAAAACTGCTCCTACTTTCCAAGGACCATATATTCTAAATAACCCACAAATTGGGGCAAAATGCTCAAAATAGACACTTTAAGGCAAAGCGATGAGAAATCCCAAAACTCCACTCAATGCCAACAAGTTGACATTGAATTAAAATGAAAATAAATAGCACTTTCTAAAAACATAAATTTCCCAAAACTACCCCTCCCAAAACGGTTTCCCCTCTTCGGCATATATGTATGTGCATGCTTGTGGTTGTGCATGGGTACTTTGCAACAAGTGACTGTTTATTACTCCCGCTCATATTATAGTTGTTGTACAATTTAGTACACAAGTAAGACAGCAAAAGCAAATTCACAAAACAGATGGAGTAGAAGAGATTAGGGAAGGACAGTAATAGAAGCAGAGAATTTTATGAATAGAGAAGGCGCAAATCTTAGCTGTACTAAAATGTAAACTTTTAAAAAGGAACATTGAAAATGCGCAAATTCGAAAATTAAATTACACCGCAACATTCTCTGCCTCAACACTTGGGATATTTTAACTAAGGCCGAATAAGTGCTGAAGCCCGAAATTTCGGGATCGGAAAAGGAAATTATTTGACTCCGCAGTTTTTACTATTCGAATTGCAATAATTCAAACTAGATTAGGTAAGGAACAAAAATCCTTAATTTGTCGGTGGTGTAATGGATTAATTTTAAAGCGTTTATCGAATTTGAAATAATCAGGATATAATTCTTGCACACACCTCTTTACATTCTTTTCTCTTTCGTATGCAGCATTCATGCGCAAAATTAACCGAAGGTATCTTACCAGACAGATTTCTTTACGATTAATAAAAGAGCTGATTACAAGCAATTGGAGCACTTGAAGAGTTTTTAGCCTATATTATTTTATTAAAATTTGTGAGGTTCTCCCATTTGCCATTTTTAAATTCATTGCTTAAATAATTAGTTTGTCTGAAATTTTTCCGATTTTGTTTTGAAATGAGCTCATGGTATATTGATTCGTGAATAATTTCTAGGGCTTTATCTTCTAGTAATATACTAACTGAAATCCTAACCTCAACCTGGTATCAATACGCCAAACATTTAGACACTTATGGTTTTTAGTGGAATTATGGTTAGGATACAGAACCGAGAGCAAAGCAGAAGTTTTTTCCTCGAAATAATTACAAACATAAAACCAGCAGTTTGTGAATCCAACTCTGTAGGTAACACATATATTTTATTTATTGTATCATATTACATATTATTGTAGTTTTTCTTTGTATATACTTATATTTATGCTGGTGAACAGAAGGTTTTCATTGAATTCAAAGTGAAATCTTACAAAAATAGTTTCCATTAATTTACTTGTACTCAAACAAACTACACATTTTCAGATTCATAATGAGAAATTAATCGTGCAGTTACAGCTGCTTATGAAAAATACCTTAAAGTATTCATTATTAAATACGTATATGGTTCATGAAACTAAAATTAATGCAAAAATAAAATCTAACGTATGAATATAATTATGAAAAAAAATATAAAACTGGCAAAATGGGCGGTAAGTGCGGTACGGGCAGCACTAGACACTTAAATGGTTATGTAATGTTACATTTAAACTATGTATGTTTGTATATGTTATGGGTAAAGGCGACCGGACGCCAGAGCTCAGAGTTGAATGATAACGGTACAATATGTATGAGAGTAATTAGTGCTTGTCTTTTGTTTTGGTAGCAAACACTAGGGGCATTTACGCATTTGTTTGCTTTTGCTGTTTTGTTACTACGCACTATCTTGCTCCATTTATATGTGCTTAGTTTCATAAATTTTTGCTAAAAGTTAGTATTTTTACTACTATTCGATATTATACTAACAAGTCGTCTATATGGGTGTACGAGCGGACTTCTATTAAGATCATTGTCGAGAATTTTACAATCACACAAGTCTTTTCGTTTTATTTCATTTGTTTTCTCACGTTTTTCTACTCTTGAGTTATGGGAATATACAGTTACTTCTCGCATTCGGATACCCGGCACTGCGGGTGCCATCTGTTGGTTATTGGTGTTGTTATTGCAGTATGTCTTCAGTGCACTGCTCGTCTGTTCGTAACTACAGATATCCTGCTGATCTGCATGTATATACATATGTATATATTATTTGGAGTTACAATTGCTGGGTGTTTGCGATTGATTTAATCTGCTTATTTGTAGAATCACTAGACTTTTAATGTACATAACAAATAATTTCAGCTGTTTTAGCTGTCGGGCATGAGCATTGAATGCTCACTTTTCGAACTCTTACGATTACTAAACATTTGTTTGCTGCATATTTCATTTGCATATTAAATGTTTCACAAAAAATATTTTTGCAGCACACGAAATAAGAGCATGTAAATATTTGTAGAAAAATAGGTAATGTTTTCTCTTATATGTTTGTGGCGTAAAAATCGATCATTAATTATAGTTAGTGCTCACAAGCGTTTAAGCATATAAATTATAAGAAAGAATACTTTTTGTATTTGTAGCAGTGCGCAAAACGCATCACAAAATGAAATGTGTTTTAAAACAACTCATCCTGTTTTCAACAATTTATCCTCGTGTCATCCAATTTAACTGTTAATTCTAAGTATTTATAGACATTTCAAAGGCTATAGTATAAATTAACGGATTTCGATTTTCTTTCTTCTCAAGCAATCTGTTGTCCATTTCTTTTGTTCGCAGCACATTTCACTCTCTTATGTAGGTATGTATGTATGTGTGCTAGCAGTATTACAAGCGCCACTTTATTTATACACACTCGCTATCACAGCTGTGTACAAATTAACAAGGATTCTTTATCTAAATGTATATATTATTAACCGATATATAGCAGGAATGAATAATCTGATTTGATTTATTTCTTTGCTAGCCGGCACCAAGGGAAGCCTTTGCTTAGTTATCCATTAGTGGTTGAACAGTAATGCTGTGTGTATAAAGAGTTGACGTTGTTGTTGTGGTAGTTGTTGATGTTAGAAATGTGGCTGAACTGCAACTGAGCGGCTGTCATTGACGTGGGTGCACGATTGGGGCATGATCCCGGTATGTCTTGAGCTTTGTCTCCATTGCCTGCAAAGGGGAAAATAAGTGCTTTATTTTGTTTCAAATCGCTCGTATTCTTAATCTAAATTTTACATAAATTCCACTATATGAGGGTTTGTAATGCAATAAATGGAGTGCCCGGAATTATGACATTCAGTATTTACTCTTAAAGATGTTATCTGTTGGAGAACAGAAACTTTTCGCCTGTTAAAAAAGATTCCTTATGATGTAAGAAGTTAATGATTCCAGCATATTCATTGTCTCGAAAGAATAAAGGCACACAGGAGATTTGCTTTTAGTTAACACTGAAGAGCGAGAGATGCTTCATCTCCTTTAAAAAAAGCACAACACAAATAGGGCCTGGTCGTAGGAGAATTATATAGTTTATACAATGTCAGAACTATCATACGACATTTCCTATTTGAACAGGTACGGAAAGCAAACAAATTTTTTGCAACTCTCCACTCCTTCCGACCAAGTGTTGGCTTCTCTCTTCCACTGCATTACGAATCTGCGCCTTGAATTGAATATAATTGACTATAACTAATCACAACAACAATGCAGTATAAAACGTTTATTGTAGAAAAAAATAGTTTAATGCTTTTCGCATACGAAATAATTAAACGATATTTCGTTATTCATAAACCACAAAAGCAAAGCAAAATAAAAAATACTAAATTATAACGAACTTATTGTACTTATTTGGAAATATTTTTATTTTTTGTGCTTATCGGTGTTTTAGTAGAGTTGGGATGAATGATATTTCCTCCACTCATGCGGTCTGCAAAGCGCTTAAATATATTTGTACCAAAATTTAGACTCGAATTGCTACGACTGGCGATTCGTCGTAAGGACACATCAGAGACATCGGCGTCGTAATCGGTGTAGGACGTGTTTGTGGAGGTCACTGTAGCGTTTGTGTCCATGGAATTATTGCTGCCAAAGGTATTTGTTAAACTGCGTCTAAGACGACCTACACTATCGGTCGTTGGTGTGGAGGCACAGCTGCTTGTAGAGTCAGCAGCAGCAGCTACTGAACGATCACAGATACAACGAAACCTTTCACACAGAGGGCATAAAAGTGCCCTATCCAACTAAAAGAGAACACAGAGGCCATGATGCCACAATGCATTATTTTATGCAACATGTGAGAAGAAGTGATGGATAGCAGGTAGCAGGTTAGAGCATAGTAAATGTGACCAGTTACGGGATGCAATATAAACTGTTAGTAGGTGGATTATTTAGAATGTGTTACGCTGAGTCGAGCATTTAGATTTGCACAAAGTCGATTTTTTAGCATACTTGTAAACAAACTACATTAAATACATTAATTGAACTAAAATCTTGACTTTAAACATATATATGCCTAATAGGTTAAGTAATTAACTTCAAAATAGATCAGTGACTACTCAAACTTACATTCAATTTCCGTAGCATATCTGCAACAATGTTGAGTGCAGATGTACGAGAGCTGGGCGTCATTGCATTGCCATTGAGTAAATTTGTTGAATCTGAAAAGGGTTTTTCTATATTTGAGTTATAGATAAATGTTCTAACACAACAAATATAAATGTGAAAAACATGCTTACGGACACACACAAACGATACAACTACTTTTCCTCTCGTTTTTGTACTTAGCTGTTATAGTCATTTCAAATTAGTTCAGTTATATTCCGTTCTAATATTTTGTTGCTTACAAGTTACATATTTATTGAAAACTTCACAACGACGTTATAATAAAAAAATACACAAAAAAAAATAAATATATTGGTAAAACTGTACTGAAGAAATACTTCATTTTATACCTATCAGGAAGAACATAATAATCACATCATCTATTACAATTTTTGGCGTTAAGTAGCCGTAAAGTTTGTGTGGTTCAATTTCAACACTTAATTATTAGCAAAACGGTCTTATTTTTGACTTTTTTAATTTGGACTTTGTTTTAAACTTGATAAATTTAATGCCACACTTCCTAGAGTGTAATACACCTAAAATCTTACTTTTCAACGAATGTTGTTCACCGTAATTGGGAATAACTGCTGGACTGTTGTTCAGATTATGTGTAAGGCTGGTATTGTTGAGGCTAATTTCTTCATGTGTTATATCACTGTTATTTACAGCGCCATTTGCTATAGTTGCCGACAGTGTTGTCGATTCAGATATATTATTAACTGAACCATTTAATGGGTTACGCGTTTTTACATTCAGTTCTTGTTTTAAGTCTACAAAAATTGGAATTTGAATAATATTTAACATAGAAGTTGTGGATCATATATTTACTGGTTGTGTAACATTTGCAACAATTTTACCTCTTGTTTCATCCATAAGTCTCTGTAGCTTTTCCTGTAGCATTTCCTTTTCATCCACCTCCATTTCAAGTAGAGCATTTTTTTCATAAGCTTTATCTAACATTCTTTCAAAATCTGCAATGCTTTCATTGAGTATGCGATGTGCTCGCTCCAAATCATCGTTTTTTTGTTCCAATTGTCGCAGGTACACTTTGAGGGAATCGCGCTCGGTTTTAAAATTTTCCATTTGTCGCTCTGTATTGGCTAATTCAATGCCATGAGATTGTAGTTTAAGCTAAAATATACAAATATTTGATGAAACCAATTTTAAAAATATTTCACTTCTATACCTTTAATGATTCATTCTCTTTCTCTAATGAGGAAAGTGTCAATCTGAGATCTTTGATTATACTCTGTTTTTGATCAAGTGTAGCATCCATTTCTGCTTCCATTTGTCGCGATTGCTCCACATATTCATCATATTCTTGTTTCACATCTGTCCATCTTAACAATTCAAACACATTATACATGAAATTGCTACTGAACTAATTATTTTACTATTAAAATAAAAAAATCTTACTCTTTGTGATAGAGCTTAGCACGTTCTTTCCAATACCGACATTCATCCTCAACGCTATTAAACATTGGTGGAGATTCCATTGCGCTGTGCCAAAAAGATAAGCTTGGTGTAGATTTACTTAGGAAGTCTATATAGAACTCCCTACGTCTTCCTATATGCGAATATATATTCTTAAATGCTTTTAATGCTTAAATAGCACTAAAATCCTGCTTATTCACGATTTTCCTTATTCAGCTTTTTATTCACAATTTTTTCACACAAAAAATTGTTAAAGCTTTGTTCGTTCCGCTAAATAAAAATTAAACACGATTCTGAAAATAAAATAACTTGCGGAAAATCAATTTGAAAACAAGTGTACGAAACTGATTTGGGTCCCACTTTAGTTGGCTTCAAATTTTTTTATTCATATTCGATATAATGACGCCGTCGGCTCAGCCGACGCCAACGAAATATCGAAAGCAACTACTGCGGAAGAGTTCGAACGACGAAGGTTAGAAGCCAATGAAATCATCGTCCAGATTTTCAAAACAGGTTTATCACATCTAACTCACATAATTTCTTTCCATTCGTATGAAAATTAAAACTGTGTGTAACACTTACATTTTGAAAACAGCTTTTTAAAATTCAGGTGGCTTATCTTAGAAAATATCGGAAATAAATGTGAGACAAAATTCGTTAAAAGTTGTGTTTGCAATAAAATACCAAAACTTTAATATAGCATTGCCAGCTCCCAAAAAACAAAGTTACTCGGCTATTGTTGTTTCAACTTACAAGCTTGCACTTATGTGCATTAATTGTATCCTATACTACTAAACAAGATTGTCGCAAACATATCTGAAAACAATGAACGTTTATTACAGAAAATGTTCTTTTGCGTACAAGCATGTGAATTATCACAACCAAAATATATTCTACATTCTCTGACAAAAAGTTTTTTCATATATTATATTTCTCACTTCACTCCTTATTCATGCACAAAACGACTTTTATAGTTGATGATGATTTGTGACTGCTTCTCGATTTGTTCACATATCAAAATACCAAACATTAATCCGTAAACTTATGGACATCAAACAATATCACTCTCTATAAAGGGTACACACTTTAATCAAGCAAATATTTGAAACACGAGGACTTAATACCTCCAAGAGTCAAATGGACGCCAAGAAAGTAGCTGGGCGAGATTGTCGTAATCTCTATTTAACATGTAAACATGGTGTAATGACCATATACGAAGTTATTCCAATTTAATGCAACGCTGTGAAAGTCATTTCGCTACATTTGGGAGGATTCCGGATAGCTCTCGAAAATATTGTAAAAAATTGGTAAATAAGAAGTTTAATATCAAGTTATTATCTTTATGGTGTCAAATAATACATAAAGTAATAAAATTTGTCGAAAGGAGCCGGAAAATTCATTTGTATTGACCGATAATAACAAATGCAAATTTCACAATTTTTGACGGGTATAGGAAATAGAAAAACAATTTGGCAAACAAAGAAATGGAATAACGTTAAAAAGAGAAGTGCCGAAAAGAAGATACAAAGGGAAAGCAACAAAAGCGGTGAACACGGTTTTCATTGCATTGCACGGAAAATATATGTGCAGCAAATATAAATGAAGCGAAATTGAAATCGGTATAGCCAAGTGTTCGTAAACCCAGTAGTTGTCTATTTAATGCGAGTAGGAGTCGGAAGGGGTAGGCAATGGTGATTAAAACGTCGCATTAAGAACATTTTCTAAGGAGCAGGGAAGAACGTCCAACTTGATTTTTGCCGCTTTGAAAAAATCATACATATGTACATATAATTCATATCTTACAATCAATACGATTAAACACGATGTGAAATATTTTTTTTTATTAACATCATAAACTATCTATATTACTAAGCAAATAATATAAATGTGATTTGCTTTATATATATATATATATAGTTGCAACGAACAAAGAAGTGCTCACAGAAGGACCTGAACAACCTGAATTAATGCATTGAATCAAGTAGACGAGAAGTATAAGAAAATAGCAACAAAGGAGTGCAGATCAGTGATCGAAATATTCGTGGATTTCTTCAGTTTATACCTGAACCCATAAAATTTAAAGTTCAGTAAATATCTTCTGGCGCTGAAACCATGGCTGATCCTGAGAAGCAGAGCTTGATTAACAATGAGGAGACCAATAATACGTACTCTACAGGTCAGCCTAGTGCTGTAGTGGGCAGTGTTGAGGGCGGTGAAGCAGGTGCGGCTATTATTGCTGGAGCAAATTCAACTGAAGGTAATATGTTCAAATCTAACATAATTATGAATCTAATATGCAATCAAGTTCATTAAACCCGGCACTGTTACATGGGTAGCATTTGATGCTGCACACATCCACAATTGCTAAATGAACTGTAAATAAAGCAACCACAATGCAGTCATAGAAACCGTATAAGTGTATTTTATAAAAGTAGGGGCGTGGGTGGCTTGCAGATCTTTCACAGTTTTCGCGATTGCATGAAGTGGTTAAAAGTATATATTAATGTCTTGTACAACATATGCATGTATATCATAGTTTACAACACCACTGCAGTGTAAAGGGTATAAATATAAAATATGTTACGGTTTTGAAAACTTATTATTTGGGAGTAAACACTTCAATTTAGCAGCATTCGAATTCGTAATATACCATGTGTGTGTTTCTGATTTTTATTTCCTATTGTATTTTCCCATATATCACTTTCTGGTACCCCTTCTTTAATCGGATGACTCATACGTCATGGCTTGTGGAGAAACAGCTGTTGTCTTGCGATATGTTATCAAAGTATTTAGCTTATGTATACATATGTAATCCTTATCCCTGCAGCATGTATATAATCCCGAACAATTCATCAGTTACTGTTGGCTGTATATGAATTAAAACCTCATATAATTTGTACTTACATATGTGTATGTGCATACATTTAATATGGCGTATGTAATTATGTACGCAAGTTGAAAGAAACCCGCTCTTTGAAGCTTAAGATAGTGTATCACTTAGCAATGACATAGATCTCTATCTGTCTACCAACTAGATTTTAGTGAAGAAGAATCATTCATTTAATGCAATCTGTTTAGATTCGCACACTCATCCGCTTTTATTTTTGCGGTTTGAATTTGCCTTGCTTATCATTTTCTCTATGCTTTTCCATAAGCCTCCTCCAACATGTATATATTCTACAGAAAAGGTTCAAAAGATCTCACAACGTATTTAATTAGTTTTTTTTTGTATAAAAATGTCTTCAATAATTTTTAGGCGGTGTTTCCCAAGCAAATGTTCCGTTTGTGGGTCCCGATGAATTGCCACCGCCATATCAGGCAAACACTGGAACTGGTGTACCAATGGTTACATGCAGGGTGTGCCAAAACATGATCGATATTACGACAAAAAGGGATCAACATGTAGTGAAGTGCAGCCACTGCAATGAGGCAACTGTAAGTACCAAAAAACAGTGCGAACAACCGTTAATAAACATGTAACACAATGTAATTAATGTCTTTTTAGCCAATACGTAATGCCCCTCCTGGCAAGAAGTATGTGCGTTGTCCATGCAACTGTCTGTTGATTTGTAAAAGTTCATCGCAGCGCATAGCTTGTCCTCGGCCTAATTGCAAGCGTATTATAAATTTAGCACCGAGTCCAGTTACCCCACCCGTACCGGCTATGCCAGGAATGTGCCGTGTAACATGCGGACACTGTTCAGACACATTTTTGGTATATTTCCGATTTAAGGGAATGCTATAGTATTATTATAATAAATTATAATTTCAGTTTAATACATTTCACAATGCATTGGCGCGTTGTCCCCACTGCAGAAAAGTTTCGTCTGTAGGATCGCGTTTCGCTTGCGGACGTAGTATTTTATTCGCTATACTAGGACTGCTATTTCTTATTGCGGGCATCGGGATTACTGTTGGCACGTACAAGTATGCAAAGGTAAGGCTACCATTTATGGTACATGGTGTTAATTTTCACTACTTTTTATTTATTTGTACTTTTCAGGATCACGGCGGTATCGTTATTGCTTATATTGGCCTATTTCTGATTGCAGCCTTTTTGGGTGCACGTTCTGTTTATTATTTCCGTTTAAAAGTAAGCGCCATAGATGGTCCGATGTAAGGGCGTATTTAAATGTTTTTGTATCATTCCTTTCGATATTAACAAAACAAACAACCCAACATAAACACATTAAGCATATTAAAAAGCCAGAGGAGATAGAATGAAAAAGCAGGTATAGATACATAAAAGAAACTACTTATTACAGACTACATTCACTAATGAATAATTCTTAAAACACACCGTAAAATGCATAGTTCACCACTCTAAATAAATATGCAATCGAACAAAAAACATTGCATTATAATTAATTATTCGAACCGGGTAAAAATAATAATATTGTATTAATGTAGTTCTAACGCATGTAACACGCTGCGTTAACATAAATGATAAATATTTGATAAATCCACTAATGCAATACCCCTTTTTGTACAACGTATATCTCAACAGTCAAACATGAAGAATGTAGGAAAAGTCTTACTTAATGCGCGCCTAAATATTTATGCAGAATATGTTGTTAAAAAGAAAACACAAAGAAAGACAACTTTTTACGTAATAAGTTCACAGTTTTTTTTAAATAGTTTGGTCGCTTGGAAAAATTCACTTTGTTTGGATATGGTTCTGCTTTGCTTATAAATTACAATTTTTATCATAAATTATGATTTTGTAACTTTTGTAATTGTATTTGTACGTAAATGTTTTTATTCCCTGGCTGAATTACAACAAATAATGTTGATATGCGGTGCATACGCGATAGATTATAATTATTCAACACACACAAACGAAAAACGAAAAATCCCGCTTCCGTTACAATTTGTCTTAGATATAAAGTCCAACATACTTATATAAAAAATGAATACACGTGTTGATAGTTCTCACATGTATGAAGTTGTCCTGCAGCTAGTAAACGCATGTTTGTTGATTAGCCTGTAATAATTTCGGTCACTTAAGATCGAAAATAATATGTATAAATTTAAAAATTATAAGCCTCGAGTTTTCCAAATGGTTCAAGTATAAATTTAACGGAAGCATTCAATATGAGAAAATGAAGGCAAAGGAAAAGGAGAGCAAATCTGAATTCTATAAAACAACATTTAATATTAACTATATAATTAAATGAAATATTATGAAACTTATACAATTATATTTAGATTATTACGATATACTGTAAATAAACGCGAAAAAACCAAAGGAACTTTTATTTTATTTTTATATATATTGATAATTATTGTAAATTTTATTGAATTTTTCTGAGCACTGTCACTTCTAGCATGGGGTAGCGAAATGCTCAGCAATGTGACACTTTTAAATGATGTGAGTCCACTCGGACAATATCCTTTCAAAGAAATTACTTTGAATTGAGCGGTTAAATCAGTTATTTTAAATATGTAAATATTAAATAATTATTTAAATACTTATAAATTCCTTATTTCACCACAACGATTTCAGTGCCTCCGCCAGGCGGACCAGCCTCGAGTAGCGCTTTTTTAATGTCATCAACCTTAATTTCTTTACCCTGGCAAATCATGTTTAAAAAATCCAAAAATTCCTCAAAGTCTAAACGCCATTTTCTTAAAATTAAAAAATTTAATAAAAAATAAAACAGAGATTTACAAATTACTTGAATTTCATGTAAGCCATGCCAGTTTCGGTCATCGTGAATACCGTTTTTAATAATTTTGCTTGATCCAACCAAAAATCGATCTGGGACAATAATATGGTCTCGTATATCTCATTTTCCAAGTCTAAGGTGTTGATATTATTGTTTGCATACAAGTGGAAGAGACTTTCGATAGTATGCTTCTTTTGCTTATTCTCATCTTCGTCGGCCATGGTATATACTATATAACTGCGAATTTTGCACTGGATTTGTTTATATAAATGAGATATTACACGTATAAATTTGTTTCACAAATTATATGTATTTACTGTAATTTGATTTTTTTTTTCAAAACATTTGATACCTACTCGTTTGTGTTCCCATTTTTGTTTGTTATATTGCCGTTTCTATGTTGAATATAGTCATAACTTAAATAAGTACTTACATACATATGCATGTGTAAATATTTCGGTGTATATGTAAGTACATACTTATGTTAAAATTTAGGAAAGGAAAGCTATTGACAAAGACACCAGAAAAGCTGTGCGGTAGAATGGTAAACTTTAAATATTAGTTGTTTTCCAATAATGGAATTTCACGTTACAATATTTAACAGTTGTGACGAAGATTATACTTTAATATATTTTTGACATTGAAGGCTTTATTAAGAATAGTGGATCTGCTTATTAATATCATGAGTTATATAATAGAACAAGAATTCGCACGCGTTTAACGATCTCTTCCTTTTTACGTTGCCGCGACAATCGGGTCTACGTAATCGGAACGGTCCTGGATTTTCATCCGGCTAACGACTGTCAACTCGGCTGCATTCTCTAAATTACTTCTGATTCTGATTTCAGCCCTTACAACAATAACAACACCCTTATTCGGTTTTTTCAAATTCGTTTCTTTATTGCTACATAACATCCATAGGCGTAGCAGGGGGCGCAAGCTGGGGGTGGCACCCACCTGGTCTCTCAAAAATAAATCGCTAGCACAAAAATTTCTTTTTCGGGGATTCCTAGCTCAGCTCTATGTATACGGTTACTGATTGGGTGGCTCTAGATTTTTTAAAGTTTATTGTAGAATGGGATTTTACAGAATCTCTACCAAATCTTGCGTCTTTGCACTGAAATTATTAATGACGGTTGCGTGTCTGTAGCTTCATGTGAGATGAGTTTCAATAAATTAAATCGTGGCTTAGCAATCTTGGTATATTAGCCATCGAACACGAGGCAATACAAAATATAAATTTCTATGAAGTTATTGGTGAGTTTGCAGCTGTCAAAGCTAGAAAAAAAAATTTAAATTGTATAACAATTCCTTTTTTGTCTCAGTAATTATTGTGTTTGTTATTTCCTCAATATTATAAATAATAAATGATCCATGTTCTTTATCATATAACAATTATTGCTATTTACTTCACTTGGGGTGACACCATCAACTTCCGCACCGGGTGCCCCCCAAGCTAGCTACGCCACTGACAAGATCTACATAAATATCATTATCATATATGTATATTCGCTTTTAAAAGTTAAAGTTGTTAGGCTTTGAGCTGCTTGGAGGAAGTTCATATTCACCACGGTTGCCCACAGTAAATTTTTGCATAGTGTGGTGTGCGTATTTATAATATTCGCCACGACTTTAAACAGCTGTATTTGACATTGGTACGCCAGATCATAAACAAGTTAGTAAAAAGTGTAGTTTGTTTATTGAAATGCAGCGAAACTAAAAACATTTTAAAATTTTGCTAAAATGGATAGCGAACCGAAGACCGAACCAAAGGATGTGCCTGCACGCCCATTTAAATTATAAGTATTCGTGCAGTTAGTAAAAAACAACAGCTGAAAATAATATTTCTTTCTCTAATTTCATAACTATACGGCGCATCAAATTGTGAGTTTGACCGGCATTAGTTTCGAACGAAAAAGTATAATAGTGAGTTGGTTGCAATCACAAACCACAGAAAATTTGGTTTCATTGCTCTATATATTTTTTTAGGGTGCGGTGGAGTTAACCATAGTGCCAACTAAAGAAAATTTACGCCTCATAAGATTGAATGCAAAACAGTGTCGTATTTATCGCATTTTGTTAAATGATGTTTGTGAAGCTGAGTTTTTTTATTTCGATCCCTTCCTAGATATCTGCCAAGGAGATATGAAAGTGTAAGAGGAACACTTTAAGCAAAGCTCCTACAACCACAGCTCATATTTATTTGTAAATTAATTAATAAATATTTAACAGGAGATCTTTAGACGTGTACTCCAAAAACCATCTTACTGCCGCTCAGAAAACCGATCCTGATGTCAATTGTGGTGAATTATTGATACAGATACCACCAGAAGGGTATCACATGATCCAAGAAGGCCGCGGTTTACGTATCGGCATAGAATTCTCTATGGAAGATCCACAAGGGGGTATACACTTTGTTATACCACCAACTAGTGAGGATGAACAGCAACCTAACAGTGCACATATGTTCACATACGCATACGAAAATTCAACTCGCTTATGGTTTCCTTGTGTTGATAGTTTTGCAGATCCGTGTACATGGAAGCTCGAGTTCACCGTGGATAAACATTTGACGGCTGTGTCATGTGGCGAACTTGTGGAAGTGGTTATGACACCCGATTTGAGGCGAAAAACATTTCATTATTCGCTCACAACGCCCGTATGTGCGCCTAATATCGCATTGGCTGTAGGCCCTTTTGAGATCTACGTAGATCCTCATATGCATGAGGTTACTCACTTTTGCTTGCCACAGCTTTTACCACTTTTGAAAAATACCGTACGATACCTGCATGAAGCTTTTGAATTTTTCGAAGAAACTCTTTCCACACGTTACCCCTTCTCCTGCTACAAACAGGTTTTTGTAGATGAACTTGATACCGACATCAGTGCTTATGCTACCTTAAGCATAGCTTCTGTGCATCTTATGCATTCCATTGCTATTATCGATCAGACTTATGTAACACGAACATTAATGTCACGCGCCATTGCCGAACAGTTCTTCGGATGTTTCATCACATCACATCATTGGTCCGACACTTGGTTGGCAAAAGGTATTGCCGAGTATTTGTGTGGCCTATATTCCCGAAAGTGTTTCGGTAATAATGAATATCGCGAATGGATTCAATCCGAGTTGGCGCGAGTGGTGCACTATGAGGAGCGGTATGGCGGGATTATACTCGATTGCAGTCAGCCACCGGCGCCACTTCCTGTATCTAGTACGAATCCCTCGAGCGCTACCAGCAAGCAAACAGAAATTGTGCATTACTTTCCTATAAAAAGTTTACATACAGTTTCGCCAAAATATGTGGAAGCAATGAGGCGCAAGGCGCATTTGGTTATACGTATGTTGGAGCACCGCATCGGTCAAGAGCTGCTAATACAAGTGAGTTTTTTTGTTCAATTTTCTAAGCACTATAACAACAATGCAACTAGTTTTCGAGTTCGAAAATCTTTTAGTATATGTACTATGTTCAACTAAGCAAGTGATTGATTTCTGTAAATCAGGTTTTCAATAAACAATTGGTGCTGGCAACCAATGCAGCGGTGACTAAAATCGGCTCCGGCTTATGGCATCACTTGCTTATTTCCACGAATATATTCATCAAGGCGATATTCACTGTAACTGGTAAAGATATGTCAGTCTTCATGGACCAATGGGTCCGCACTGGAGGTCACGCGAAGTTCTCCTTTACATCGGTGTTCAATCGGAAGCGTAATACTATTGAATTGGAGATTCGGCAAGATTTCGTGAGTCAACGTGGCGTTCGCAAATACAACGGCCCATTGCTAGTGCAGCTACAGGAATTGGACGGCACATTCAAGCACATGTTACAGATTGAGAATACAGTAGTGAAGGCAGATATCACTTGTCACTCGAAAAGTCGACGAAATAAAAAGAAGAAAATTCCACTCTGTACGGGCGAAGAAGTAGATATGGATCTCTCGGCAATGGAGTAAGACGCGCTTTCAAAAATATAAGCTAAAATAATGATTTTTCTCTAATTTTGTAGTGATTCGCCTGTTCTTTGGATTCGTTTAGATCCGGAAATGATATTAATTAGAGATTTGAATATTGAACAACCTGACTTTCAGTGGCAATACCAGCTTCGTCATGAACGCGATGTAACAGCACAGTTTGAGGCCATTAAAGCCCTGGAAAAATATCCCACCAATGCTACGCGCTCTGCACTGACAGATACAATTGAAAATGAACGCTGCTTTTATAAAGTCCGTTGTGAAGCAGCACATTGTCTTACCAAAGTGGCTAATCAAATGGTGACGCAATGGAGTGGACCTCCTGCCATGTTAAATATATTCCGAAAATTTTTTGGCTCGTTTAGTGCTCCTCATATTATCAAACAAAATAACTTTTCCAACTTTCAGTTATATTTTTTGCAAAAGGTCATTCCTGTGGCAATGGCAGGTTAGTACCGGGTGGTCATTAATTCTTTTCAAACATTTTTAATTTTTAAATTGTTTTTGCAAAGGCTTACGCACTTCTCACGGTATTTGTCCACCTGAAGTTATTCGTTTCCTCCTTGATCTATTCAAATATAATGATAACACGCGGAACCATTATTCGGATGTTTATTATCGCGCGGCTTTAGTTGACGCCTTGGGAAATTCAATTACGCCAGTTGTTTCAGTAGCACTCCGTGGAACGCCCATTACTTCTGACAGTCTCTCTGCCGATGCGAAGTAAGTTTTCTAATTATTTCCACTTTTATTTGTAATTGTACTTATTTCAAATATTTCAAAGGCTAGTACTTGAGGAAGTGACCCGTCTACTTAACTTAGAGAAGAACTTACCGTCGTATAAGTATATGGTTTCGGTTTCATGTCTTAAGGTCATTCGTAAATTACAAAAATGTGGTCATTTGCCTTCGCTGCCGAAAATCTACCGTTGCTATGCAGCTTATGGTCAGTATTTGGATTTACGTGTAGCCGCCATGGAGTGTTTGGTAGATTTTGTTAAAGTGGATGGACGCTGGGATGATTTGGATCATTTGATTACGTTGCTCGAAACAGATCCCGACCCTGCAGCACGTCATGCACTTGCTCAATTGTTGATCGACAATCCACCATTTAGCCGCGAGTCACGGAGCAGCCGATTGGATCGATCAGAGTTGGTAGAGCGATTATGGGCAAATATGAAGTGAGCTTAACTAGACTAGTAACATTTTATTTTTATAAAATTTGTGTAAACTGCACTGCTTCCGATTTACAGCAACAAATTGGCATTCGACACTAAGTTACGTTGTGACATGGTGGATTTATATTATGCATTATATGGCACGAGGCGACCTATTTGCTTGCAATCTGCTGATGTCAGCAACATGTACAAGGATATAATTAAGGAAGGCACAAAGAAAACGACGGTTCCCAACAGTGGTACAATTTCTAATAATGAACCCAAGATCGCTCCAATAATAAGCGAAGTGAAAAACGAGGTCCTCGACATAGTCGAAGAGCATACTTCTATTACTTCAGTAAAGCGCACCGCTACCGAGGCATTTGAGGTGGGCAACGAAGTCATAAAATTGGAAACAACTGAGGAGGTGACACTTGTTGAAGACAATGATATGAAGGTGCAGTCTTTCGAAAATGAGGTAAAAGTTGTAGTTAACCAAGAAGATGATGGAAACGTACATTCTCCCGAGCCAAAACGTATGAAAAGTGAAATCTTCGAGGAAGACGACAATTCTGTAACCATCATTGATGTGGGCGAAACTACAATAACGAAAGCAGATAGCAGCTTTGAGGCCAATAAAACAGACGCCGAAAGTAGACATAAGACAGAGAACTCATCAAAGGTGTGTGCCGAACTAATATACGGATATATTTATGATACTTATCGAATAAATATTAACATTTTTAGCAGAAAAAGAAGAAGAAGGATAAGAAGAAACACAAACATAAGCACAAGCACAAGCACAACAAAGAAAAAGAGCGTGACAAAGAGCGTGAGCGAAAGGATAAAAAGGATCCCAACATATCTCGCATACAGGCAAAAGAAGCCACGCCGGAAACGCTCAGCTCAGCGGACAGCAGCAATTCAAATAGTAATCCGCCAACACTAAATTTCACATAAATAAGCTATAATGATACGGTTTTATATTTTACATTCTACTTTTGTATCAGTAATTTACAAAAATTACACATAAAAGTATATATGTTTAGAATTTAAAGTTTCTAGCAGCATTTTTAATATAATCCGTTACATATGTGTGAATATATAACGGTTATTGAAATATGTGTGAATTACAATTTCATAAAATGCATTGCAAATGGTATTTAGTATATACAATAAATGATTTTTTTTATTAATTCACTACAATCGTTTGGGGGTTTCAAACTTCGTATCGTCTCGTTTGTTCGAAATAAACGTGTCACATACATATTTATAATATTAAAAATTACATACATATAATTAATTATAAATAAATGTGCAGTATAGTGCCAACTAGACTTACTAACTGTAAGTGGCCACGTGTGTTCGACATATTCTTTTGCTTTCTTCTGCGCATTTTAGTCCACTTACAAAGTTGTACGAGCACTGTAAAACTAAATACAAAGAAAATGTAAAAATGAAAACAGGCAAGAACCTTTTAACTGAGCCATTGTAAAGAGATATTATGCAACGTGCACATAGAATTTCGAAGTCGTTTTGTGCGCATGAGGGAACTTAGATATTGCTTCTGTAATTGCCTGGATTAATAGTTAAAAGCTATGGAAAACAGTATTAAAAGGATTATTGCTTGGCTTCATCCGCTTTTCCAGCGACCGATGTCTCCTTCTCATCGCGCGGATTTCGTTTCTGATCGGCCAGCGGTCGTAAATACGTTATATTGCCGCCACCCACTGCTGTCGCCGTTTGTTCATTAGGCGACGAAGGTCTAACATTTGCTGTCGGCTCAGAGGCTTGAGCTTGAAGTCCCCTACGTGGACCATACTGCTGAGCTATATGTTGCATTAGCTGTGTATAGTCCACAGGTTGATTGCGGAATTCAGGATGCTCTTTTATATACTGCTCATAAGGAACGGGTACCGGTACTGGTACAGCTGTTACTGGGTAGCCAGCATCAATCAGCGCCTGGAACTCGGTTTGGGTGAGTGGCTTTCCGCCCGGTTGGGGCAAATGCAGTTGGCGCACATCTTCGATGGATTTCGTTTTTACTGCGGTGTTGCGTGAGGGTGTCGCAATGCCTGTGCCTTGTGAGACATAAATACTGGATTGTGATGGAGCTGGGGCGGGTGAGATGTATTGCCGGTTTGTGTGGGCTTGTTGTGGAGACGGTGCAAGCGCTGAGTACTGCTGAGCATGGGCGAGTGGCTGTTGCCGTGCATGTACTTGCGCTCGTTGTTCTCCCGAAGGTGCGTTGGGATCAGGGGGACTAGGGTGAAATCGTCCGGAGGAAGCTTGTTGATTTGATTGCCGTTCGTAGTCGTAATACAGTTGCGGGTTAATATACTTGGCTGCGGCTGGTACGTTCGGATAATTTGGCGGTTCCTTCTCACGTAACTTTGGCGAAGAGGTTGAAACTTTCGAGCCATAGTGTTTTGAGCGAGCTTTGGGTCTGGTTGTTGGATTTAGTTCCTGGTAGAAGTACTGTGTAGGTTGTGGCTGTTGTACCGTCGTGGGAGACTGCGTTGGAGGGTATACCACTGGACCTAATTTCTTAGAATCAACAATGTGTTGCGGCACTTGTGTGGGGTAAATCGGCGTAGGTTGTTGTATGTTGCTAAATCTAAACAAAGACGGTATAAACGGCTGATTATTGGCATCTACTTGTGGTGTGGGTGTTGGTGGGGATCCGCTTTGTGAGGAATAAAGTTTCTGTTGTAAAGCATATGGGCGTGGACGTGGCTCCTGGTGGGGCTGCAGCTGTTGTTGCGGAGCTTGTTGGTGTTGGTGTACTACGCCAGATGGTTCGTTGGAATTATCCACTAACTGATTGGGTGAAGGTTTATTCGCAGCAAGCAACTTTTCGATTTCATTCTCTAGTGATGACTTAGCTAGTGGATGATTTGGCAATGTTTTATAGCTCACTTGTGGTTGGTAGTATGCCAGTTGAGGCGGTATGTGTGGTGGTGGCGGCACATCGGCTGTTGGATCAACAGTTTGTGGGTCACCTTGTTGCGGTTGCGGTTGAGGTTGAGGCAGGTATTTGGGTCCACCGCGATGACGTGGGACATATTGTACATATTCGGGTATTAGCTCTTCGGCGGGAGATTGTGACTGTGGCTGCGCCTGCTGACGATAGTTGCCTAAACCTTGACCCACGCGTTCAGTGGGAAGTGGTAAAGGTGGCCCTTTATTAGGAGAAGCCGCATGTGCAGCCTGTTGCTGGCGGTATTGAGCTTCATGGAAGGCTCGAGCACGCAACTCATCTTCCAAAAGCTTAAGGAATTCTTCTTCGGGTATAATTTGGTATGGCTGTTGAGATCCGCCTGCTCCCGGTTGTGGGTATTGTGGTCCTAGCTGCTGGTATCGCGGCACAATTTGTGTTGGTGGCGCTGCGTAATGAGGAGCTTGAGCGGATGTCGGGTTCGGCGGTTGAATGGCAACAGCATAACGCTGTTCAGCTTCTTCAGCATTTCCCCGATACTGTGAAGGTGATATATGGGCACGTCCTGATTTTGAAGCTTTTTTCTGTTGTTGTGCCGTACGTGGCTTCCCGGTTAATTCTGAAGCGGAGGCTACCGACTTGGGCTGATTGCGATTAATGTCTTGGAGATAGGCAAAATGTTGGATCTGCAATTAAAAAGAGATTTAATTATAGAAACAAACCGATTTGTGGCTGCTAAATACAACTGTTACGTAATATGTATAGGGGTGTCTCCCGGAGGAACAAATTCCAATAAAATCTTAAATCAATATTAACATCTTTACGAGTGATTCAAAAGTCGAGTGCCCGAGAGAGTGAAGGCGTAACGGCGGAAGACTCAGAGGCGGCTAGCGCCGGTCCGGAAAACACTTTTTCCGACAACTTTGAAGACTTTTCGTATTTACTTTATAATACTAACGTACAATGTGACTGCAGCCATACAACAACATATACTTGTATGTAAGTTCATTCACTACTACAAGTAACTGTTATATATAAATAAGTGTTGCAGTACAGCCGCAAGTTGCGGTAAACCAGTGACCTCAAAAGTTAAAACTGCGAGGAAAATGATTAGACATTAAGAGACGACCAACAATTTTTAATATTTCAGCCAACAGCAACAAAAACTTTGGCTTTCCCATGCATATAAAAGCGTGAATAATATGGTGAGAATTGTGTGGCATATACAAATATATTGAATGAACAAATTGAGCAAAATTATTAAGCATCTAAAAGCAAAAGCAATTTATGCAAATTTAACGCTTGTTGTGGGCGAATATATATATATATATATATGTATGTATGTATATATGTGTTATGCTAATGTTGCTATAAACATTATGATGCAGTTGTTGTTAACGAGTCTGAGCGGTTATTTGAGGAAAAGGTTCCAAGTATGCTTACACATTGAGCATACTTGCTAGATGATTAAAGCTTCACTTAACTTCAGAAAAAAGCAATATCAAGCGCTTTCATAAGATTCGTAAAGTTCACATCGAGCTATGTCTATAGATGACTTGGTGCACACAGTTCCTGCTTTTCCGCTTGGTGCAACTTTTGGCATTATTAGCTGCTTCACACTTAGTAATTTTGTCGTTTGGTTTTCCTCACAGCAAAATAACTGTAATTATTACGCACATTTCCATGACGTTTGTGATGTAAGCGAGCGGCACTTATTACGCCGTTATTTCCCCACTATTTGCCCCAATGCTTTTACTTTTATAAATGAGTTGTCCATTTTTGCAGTGCGGCTTACAATGACATTAATTGTCGCCGTGGACACGCAAAGAAAACACGCGACTATCGCATCGAAATAGCCGAAAAGTGGTGAGCGTTTTATTTGGGCTAAGATGCAAGTACATAAACGATAAAATGTTGCACAAAAAGTACGCATCCAAATTATCCAAATGTCTCAGATAATTATGAATTTTTTCGGTCAAGGTAAGTTGGTATTGAAATTGAGATAATCTCGAGGAAACCCGCAGTTTCTAAAGACAAGTAAAAAGTCAAATACGAAATCTAACCCAAGTTAAAAGGTACCGAATTAAAAACAAGTAGTTAGGCAATACAATTGCCGCATATTTGCAGTTAACTAGCGTGAATATCGACCATTAAGCAATCAAAAGACTTAAGCGACAAACTTCGTTACCTAAATTACTGTTGCCGATAGATTTCAGCAATGATTACATGACATAAAATAATAAAAAAATGAGATTAATTACACGACATAAAATATTGTGTTCTTACAGTTATCGCGTCTGACCTGGCACCCTAGCCATATTCTTGACTTAACGGCCCACCTTCAGCGCTAACAAATCGATTGCTAGTAAGCTTTACGCTACCACATGACCCCGCTGGCATTGAAAATGACATTTTATGATTGAATCCGTTTGCCTTTTGATTTGAGAGTAATTAAATATCACCGCTGTGCTATTAAAATAAACAGCGGTTTGTTGTTGTAATTGTTTAAATATGAGAACGTTACAAATGTTTGAGTAGTTTCAAGCATGTGTGGAATATTGCGAAATCCATTGAAGGGGTTTTTACTCTTTTGTTGTATTCCTGGCTAAGTTTTTTAATCCCGGATAATTTCAACTCAAGTACCATTTCTGAATCTTTCAAAGTTCATGTGGTTGACTGCGCTTGTGGAAATGTGTTCAACGCAAAATATAATCACACTGCGTATAAATATGCTTAGGACTGAGGAGAAACACCTTCGTTTAGCACAACTAGACACCTTCGCGGATTTCAGGCATTTGCCGACATGTTAATTGCGTTTGACCGACGCCGCGCACCTCACAACGCTTTGCTTTAAGAATCGTGCAACTAGTCACGACTGCGCCATGAGTATTTGCACTGTGAAAGCGCATTGTTGTTGGTGTTGCGTACAGATCACAGACCAACTGGCATTACAGCAATGAATGAACATCTGAATACCTGTCAGCGAAACGGATGAGTCGTTTCACCCTTTCCAATCCAATGGAAATTACAGAAAAGCGAAATATGTCGAAAGCAGTTGTCACAACACGAGCCCCGTAACGCCTGCCCAGCTTTGTCCACCTTTCGCTTTTTTCGCAATTGCTTCGCGTTGTCTCAAATTAGCATTTACGCTGCTGCTGCAGCATACAACAACCACTACAAAACTATTATCACACTTGTCTCACGTCACTCACCTCTTGACTCTGCTCCAGCAATTGGGTGCCGTGCGGCCGTATTGTC